ACGCCTGCTCCGGTTGGGTGGAGACAAAGCGGGCAGGGTGGTTTACACCACTGTCACTGCCGCTACTGTCCTGCTGATCGGCCCAGCGTTTGGAGGTCCCCTCCTTCATAGCAATGCGGGCGAAGGCCTTGGCCTGCTCAGCCGGATCCAGCTCATCGGCCAGCGGCTTAACCTCTAGGCGTTGCGCCTTTTGGCTGCCTCCTGCGGAGAAAAACCGCTTGATCTCAGCCTTGCGCTGGCGTTTGTGAGCTCGTTTACGCTCATACTTTTCGGGATTCAATTGACGATCCCGCTCACGTCGCAGCGCTTTCAACTCTCTCCGCTGTTTGGCCTTTCTGGCCTTTTGCTCGTCCAGTTTCTTGGCACGAGCGAACCAATCTTGGTTCCGAATGCGTCGTCTCTCCTTCTCCATTCTGTGCACTTGTGCGTGGGTGGACATGTCTCCCGGCATTGGAGATGCACAAGAAGAGAACGATAATTCCGAGATCTCCTCCCACCGTTCGTGGGGATCGTTAGGGTCCGGTCTCTCTGGACTCCCCTCGCTCAAGTCCCATGGTTCCGGGATATGCCTGAGCGCAAAGGCCATCTTTTCTGGCCAATTTGGGTCCTCTTTGATAATCTGATCTGCCATTCCAGGACCATACCACCTTTGTATTCTAACCAGTCTGGCGGTGGTTAACCTTTCTCCAAACTCGTCGGCGGCCATCCGCCACCCCTCGTCAAGCTCATCGACGAGATCACTGTGGAACTTTGTCCACATTGCACGGCACGGTGGTTGCCGGCTATACGGATCTCGAGTGTCTGGAATGAACTCCAGCACCCTTGAGCTTTCACCAGGCCCCCACTCTGGCAACGCAGGCCTTCGAGGGCTCCAGTTATGGCCTCCCGGCCTTGGCGGACTTTTGCTGCATACTGCTTGAGCGCTTTCTGTGAGCGACTCGTCTCCCATCCCGTCCGATCCACTAGGTGTTCTAATGTGCACCTGGGATTTGAGCCGCAGCTCCGGGATCTTGACCTTCCAGCCTTTTACTTTCTCAAAGCGCCCTAAGGCTTTGGCCTCCTGGCCTTTGTATGGCGATTCCTCGCGTCCCACCAGCCGCTCACCTGGCGATAAGCTCTTCCGCTTTGGCCGCTGTCTACCGGCAACCTTCCAGTCGCCCTCGGCTTCTGGAATGGTTGGCATGGGTAGTTCCGACGGGCTTGGGGCCCTCATGACCTTTGCCGCCTGTTGGGCGCTTCTCTCTTCTGCCTCCTGGGCCCGCTGCTTTTGCTTCAAGAGGCGGTCGCTCAACGCCTTGACTTGGTCTTCGGCGGAGGTTTTGGCTTCTTGTGCCTCGCGGCTTTGCTGCTTCGCCTTCTTCATGGCCACCTCCTTTTCCCGAGCTTCTTTCTTGGCCTTGTTGACGGCGATTTCCAGCGAGGCAATTCTCTCTGCGGTGTCTTCGTCCCGCTTCTCCCTCGCCTTCTTGGCAGCAGCATCCGCCACTTGTTCCAAGAGCTCCATGATACCAGGGGTCTGCAGCAGCGCCGCCATGGTCCCCTGATCTTGCTCTTGTTTCTTCTCCGTCGCCGGTGGGGCACTCGCTTCCCCCATCGGCTCATCTTCCTCTGCGGGTGGCGGAGTGGCTGTGGAGGGTCCAGCCATGTCCTCCCGGACTGTTTCACCTCCGTGCCCATCCCGGGCTTTAACTTCACCAACCGAAGTCGGTGTCCCCTCCCGGGGTGTGTCCATCTCTCCCGACGTGTCGGGGGTGCCCTTGCGGGTGGAACTGTCTGATTCCTCGGCCTCCATGGTGGAGGCCGGGGAGGGAGCCCGTTGCTCCGCGCTTGCACGTCCGCCCAGGCGGAAGCGTGGTAGCCACCCTCAGGTGGCTCTGAAACCAAATGATACGAAAAGACTATGGGTGTGGGGTTCCTGCCCTCTTTGAGCTGCGGACCCGCCTCGCCGGGCACCTAGGTCCTTACGGGGACCTAGGCGGGACCACCCCTCCTACTCCCATATCCATATAAGTATAATGGTTACTAGAGGACAAGGATTATAATACGATCTTGGGCAGGGCGTCCCCCACACCAAGGGCCAGTAGTAGGGCGTCCCCCACATCAGGCCGGTGCGCGTAACAGCGCTGCCGGCCTCCGGCCAAACAATGATTGTAGTTTTTCTGGAATGCCAATAAATAAACCTTCACGTTTGTCACGGCCTCCTCGCAGTTTCCCGGAAACACCCAGACTCTTGCAGCAATAAGGCGGGCCACAGTGAGAGCGATCATCAACCTTAGTAGAAAAACGATATGTCCAAGGTACAAGGCTCAATGGTGCTCGAAATCGGATGGCAGCGTTGGACAAGTCTGATGACAGACCCTAGCATATTTGATGTATGACTGATCGAAAATGAAATGACAATGTCGGTCTGGGGGATGGGGATCTTTAAGAAGATCTATAGGGTGAATATCCTGGACGATGCCCCCTTTCTGATATCATTCGCTCATACCATGAGCGTGGTGCTGGCACACCCAAACCATGGCCTTGACATGCTCGAACCATGGTGTTGGCACGGTATATTCATGGCCTTTCAATGGCATATAGCTCCCCCGGAAACTCACTTATTTATCGATCACTGGTGGCATACTCGAGCCATCCCAGCAATGGGTCATCGCCTTGGTTATGCATAATCATGCACCTTTTTTTTAATTCCAAATATATTACATATGTCTAAAAACGAGGGAACTCCCCTGCAACTCTCAAAGTGCAATAGGATCCTTTTCCAGTAGGAGCCGATGTAGGATCCCAAACAAAAGGAAAGCAAGATATCAGCATTGTTCATAGAAGCCAGAATGTTTATGCAGGGAAGTCCCAAGCAGCAAGGCAAAATGTTCAGTCAGAAGTAGAATATATCAGGTCATGTCCCAAATATCCCAGAAATTCTGGGCCAGAATATCCCAAAATATTCCAAGTAGTCCCAAGCTATCCCAAAGTCTCCCAAAGTGTCCCATATCCCACGCCCTGCCTGACTTTCAGCGTCAAACTTTGCCAGTCTTGGCAAACAATAGCCACTCTCAATGGGAAAGATTAAACAATCAATGCATAGTGTTCCTTCAAAAAGCCCTTAGGAAACGAGCCAAGAATGGGCATCCCGAGCCCAAAAGATAAGTCCAACTCCAATCATGTTGTCCACGTGTCAAGTCACGGATCTCACTGTCAGCTGCTGCCGCAAAAGTGCAAAACGGGGACAATGGAGTATTTTGTGATCTTTGTCATCTATGGGAGAGTGACACCATGTGCACTGTGAATCATCAATAATATGGAACCGATGTAAATACTGGTTTGTGGGGTAGTGGCTAGTCAGAAATTGAGCCACTTTAGATACATCATTGTGGGAAAGATCCTCAGTCCAACTCAATGATCGAGAGAACTGAGGCATGACATCGTATAGTTGACGGCCATGCGGGGAGGTATCCCACAATGCCTCCAATCAGAAGGTATAGTAGCATCCGATAAAGGTCCTGATAGTTCTGTGGGAATGGGGAATAGGGAGGACTTCAAATAGATCATGGTCCTTAGCCACATTCCTAGCAATGGTATTTGCCTGGTCATGCTCATTGATGTCAATATGACCATGGATCCACCACAAACGTACAATCGGTATCCAAGCATATAGGTTCAACAAGGTGCGCCAATAATGACCGCTAATTCCTTGCCGGCTTTTTGACACTGGATGGCTTGTAGAGCACCCGTGGAGTCACAGGCAATCGTACACCGGTTAAATGTGCCGGTGTATGGGGCATGATGACAAGCCAACAGAAGGGCAATCAATTCCGCGTGAGCACTGGAATGATGCCCTGTGAATCGAGCAGCAATGGAGTGACCAACTGAGTTTGTGCTATGGAAGAAGACTGCAGATGAGCCACAATGATCAATGTGAAGCTTTGTATCATTGCTGAGTGACCCATCTATAAAGATCCATAAATCATCGGGTGTAGAAGTAGCGCGTGCATGGCGAATGTGATCCAACGTAGTTTCCCAATCTAAGAAAGAAGGGGAAAGAAAACGATCATCAAATGTTGGATCAATGTACCACCATATGCGCTTCTCTACATGACGAAGGGTGTGGAGGGGCACATGAGGGGAGAGGGCCTGGAGCTCGAGACAAAGCATATCAACTGGCGCCATAGTGTGGTTGACTCCTCTCACAGGGGGAGTCAAGTCAAGGAGATCATGCCCATACGTCAGATGACGAACGCAGAACTCCACTAGGTACTGTCTGATATATATATCAACGGGCATGAAGCCAGTGATGAATCGGGCGGCTTCATGTGAAGTCGTCCAATAAAGGCCCATGATGGCGATCGCTGCTTGTCGGAGCACATTGTTTATAGGTTTCAGTTTTGAAGGGAAGCGAATGATGGATGACTATGCGGGAGAAGCATAGAATAATATGGGGAGAATCGTCGCCTCAATCATGTGGCGAGCAATGATTGGGTCGAATCCCCATGTTGGGGCCAGACCCCAACACAAACGGTGCAACCTGGTCTTGGCCTTGTGTGCAATGTGTCTGATGTGTGTGTCCCAAGATAGCTTGGAATTCACCGTGATGCCCAAATATTGCATCGAGGGAACACATTCCAAGAAAATGCCTCCAAGAGAGAATGTAGGTAGAGGAGCACGGACACGTCCTATCACCATGTATTTGCATTTGCCTAAGCCAAACATGGCCTTCCAGCTGTATGCCCAATGGTCGAGGATATGAGCAACTTGTGGTCCCTTAGCATCTCGGAGGGTAATCAGTCGCCTTGAAAGCAAGAGTGACCAGTAAATGCTGGTCATTCTGCGGTGGACTGAACACCAGGCAGCGTTATCAGCCATCAACAAGCCACGTTGTGCTCACCAATGCGTTGACGTGGCTTCGAAAACGTGTTGCCCACATTCCACCAGGCAATCGCCTATTCAACCTTCGGCAGTGGCGAGCCACGGTGCCGACCCCACCCCACCTCCGGCCACTCGCCATGGCCCCACTGCGGCTCGGCGACCCGTGCCCGGCCCTCCATCCGGCACGGCGGCCGCCGATGCAATCGACTCGCTGCTCGATCGGTCGGCCACCACCAGGGCTGGGCAGATGCGCCGCGCTGCGTCCGACGATCAAGGCCACCAAGCGGTGCGTGGTGGTCGCGGTGCAGCAGCCAAGGTAGGAGTGGCGATGTAGGGGGGATACAAAGCTGGCAATGCAGTGGGATGCGTGCAGTCTGAGCTCTTGCTTGTGCGTGTGAGTGGGAATCCTTACAGGCAGCGTGAAAAATCGACACACTGGTAATTTCACGCGTCTCTGCTGAACTGAAATAGTCAGACAGCATCCCCTTGCTAGTAGTCTACACCGACCTCACAACGATGGCAAAACACCCCAACCCCAACGGCATCTGGGGTGTGTGTGGCAGTGATGGGGATTTACAGAGGACTGTGCGACACCCATCAACACTAAATGCGAAGGTCATGAAGGGGTGCTGGGGCCCGAAAGTCCTAATACATGCAAAATTTGATCCCGGAAATTACCTTTGCGACCTTCCTGAAGCGTTGGGCAGCGGACATTTTTGCATCGACTGGTTTGCTGCTTGCCCACTGGGACATTACTGATGCAAAGTGAATTGCTTTTGCCAGGAAATGTTGCGTGTCGTGAAGATGACGTAGCCGTCCAGTGTCTGTTTCGTTCGAGGGCCGGTGCCATTGGGTTGTGAACTGGGGTAGCGATCGCCACAGTTGGCAGGGGCGGATGGGTGTGTGTGGAGGGAAAGAATGAAGCATTTCTTTGTCTTTGTGCTAAACTTCCTGTCCTTTTCTGGTAGTTTTGATTGGGGCTCTGGAAGCATTCGCTGCTCAAAGGATAGGGGGTGGAATTGGATGCCAAGGGGGTGAGGGGGCGTTCCTGTCTCCTAGGCATGGATGCTGATCATAACTGTGCGGTCGCTGCTGCCTGCAGGCGAAAAGACAACACAGCGGCTCTGAGGAGCGAAGCAGAGGCACCATTCAGGTTTGTGGGATCCCCAGACAGGTCGACTTGTCCAGATTGGGTGGGGTGACACTGTTGCAACGAGAAGGAAGAAAGGGGCCTATCCAGTGCAGCACTGTGGGAAACAGGACACTGACCATGGCATGTGTCTCCATGAGCTGAGATCATTTGACAGCATAAGTTCTAGCTGCTATAATGGGCTTGCAATGCTCAGTAAAAGCTCATTCCAAACCGGATGCGTCAAATGAGGACAGGGATGCATGGGGTGCAACATTCCTTCCGCAAAGAGGAAGGTATTGTTTGTTGGATTTGGATTGTCTTAAATGCTGTGAAGTCTTGACATTGCATGGGCTGGGATTGGGCGTGTTGGGCTGCTATTTGTGCTCTGGTGCTTGCTACAACTGTTGTGCCAAAATTTGCCCATGTCCCAAATGGCAGTTGAGCTGCATTGTGTCCAGGCACAAATTGGGTGTTCCATAGACAGTTATCCTATAAAAAGGCCTGAAGTTGAGCCACCCTGTGTTGAAGTGATGTGCAGACCAGTGGGACAGGGGGCTAAGCATGCAGTTATTTCTCTTGTTTATATTTGATGGACAGAACATGGCCCTTGCACTTTCAGATGATGACATACGTATTCCCATACATGCACAATGGGTCCCAATACGTTATCCTGTTCCCATGTGCAATGACCACATCCATTTCCTGTTCCAGAACTGGCATAGTAGGCAACACAGCATGCAAGTGGTTGATATTCCTGTCAACGGGTAGGTGTTTCTGGACTTTTCTGTATGTAGAGGGTCTTGAACAACAAAGCTATGTGCAGTCCTTTTAAATGATGAGCCAGCGCCAACCAGTTCACCACTGTCAGCAATCAGAGTGCAGTCTGGCCACAATCAGAGGTAGCATTAGTTTGATTCAGAGCATAGGCAACCGAGCACATTAACCCCTTGTTCTGCAAGCCTCAAGAATTTTCTCAAACTACTAATCATCCTCCAGAAAAGAAATCAGCATTCTTGCTGACAGTTGCTCTTCTTGACATAGACTACGGCTCACGGGCTCAACATCGCACGATGGGATCTAAGGCAGCAATAAATGCCAGCGATCTGCATCCATGTGACAATACATCAGGTCCATTTTGAGGCTTGCATCAAATCAACTTTTGTTATTCTTCTGAGTTGCTCAGGTATTGATCTACAGTGCCTTTGTTTGCAGCGTCTTCCAGCATTGCTCTGCGTGTTAATTGGCAACCTGCCATATGTATACAATGCAGCATCGCCCAAGTGCGAGTGCAATGAGCTGTATCCTATTAAGCAATTGTAGTAGTCAGCATGGATTCATGCCAGTTGAATTATTGCAACTCTGTAGGGCCGTGCGCCTGGTGTTGTATGGCGCCTTTGTGGGCAGTGCCACGATTGGCTTTCTGGTATCGATCAGCAAGTTGATTGGCAGCCTGGGAGGTGCGCGGGGCGCCCAGCCCCTGCCAGAGGTATTACAGAACCTGGCGATAGATGCCATTGCCATTGGAGGCTTCGGGTTCCTCTTCAGAGGCGACTGGCAGGTCAGACAAGGTGGGATGAGGCAGAGCCAGGGCCCAAACGAAGTACTGGGCAGAGCTGCCGGTGTGTGCCCTGACAGTGCACTGTCCATATCTAGCACTGTTGGATTTTGTAAAGTACTGGCCAGCATTGAGAAAGTGCCAGACAGACATGAATTCATGTTTTTGTTGATTTGCTGCGCGAATTTCCTATTCGCATTAAGTGTTGTCTCCCTTTGACGTAACTAAAGGAAACAGTGCACCCATTTGTCAACATTAAAAGCAACACCCTGGCCTTGGCTCTTGTCTAAACTGATCAACTTGATCACCAGACAACATAGGTTTGGTCTATAGCAGTTAACCTGGACTACACAATGCTGTTTTGTAGCTCATGCTGTTGCGTTCAACTCCAATCCTTGAACGCAAGCAATGTGGAACAAACCCAGGGTGTTTACCCTGCCAAGGTGCTCAAGGCCCTGGTGGACATACCCCCAGATGCGTGTGCAGTAGTCTTTTCTCTTGCAAAGTTGCATGGTGCAAAATACTCCAGAGATCTTATAGCAGCCACAAAAACATGATTTCAGATGCATCTTTGCAACATGTTTCATTGTTTGGCACCCCTTGGATCTGGTGGAGAGGTTGGGTGGGGAAACAACCAGGGTCGCAAGTGTGCCTGTGCAGCATTTTGTCATGTGTGAAATGCCAGCAAGCGGACTGTCCTGAGCATGGCTTGACTTTGCTCTGCTCTGCATAGACTATTAGGTGTAGCATTCCCTGTTGATTAGGTGTGTGGAACCACAAGTAAGTGCAGTGCTGTCACCAGTTAAGCATTGTTGGTGCTGTTCATTCACTGGATGGTTCTATAGTGTTTTCGGCTTCTGCTCATTATTTGCGAAATACTACTTAGTATTAGTTTTTACACTAGTCCCCTTCTAAGAGAAGGATGATACCTTGCCTGTTTGCCATTGCCGCCTCCCTCCCCTCTTTGGAGGCCAGGGCTCAAGTTGGTGGAGTTCGCACCTTATCATTTCAGTCAGCCCTATCAAGAATTGACGTGGCAGCGCTTTATGTGTTTGGCAGGGTTTTGATGTACTTGTCAGAATATCACTGGCCAAATGCCATCACCATCATCATGCACTTGCCAGTTTGTCACTGACCCAAAATGCATTGAGAGGTCAAAAGAATTAAACAATCTTTGCATGTTGAGCTGTCCCATAATAAGTTTTGCAAGCATTATTTGAGCATCCCCCAAAGGATCGTGCCCAGAGATCTTTGGCTTGCCAATGGTGTGTGTCCATGATAAACAGATGCATTGACAGACAAATGCATGACTGACAGACAAATTGACCCCTGACAGACCAACCCCTGCACCCATGGCCCCCTTGTCAGCTGACAGACTGAATCGTCGACTGACTTAAAGGCTCAAAGGTAGTCTCAAGGACGGGCTCACCCACCTGCTCCACATCAATCTCTTGCTTGGTGGCCCCTGTACAAAAGGGATTTGGGTGCACACCATTCGTCCATGCAAGTTCCTCTGGAGGGTTCAGAAATCTTTCGTTGAAATGCCTGCCCGCTGTTGCCACCCAGCAGTTGGTCACAAAGGGGACTGCTCGGTTCGTTTCTTCGCAGCCTGGGATACTTGGCAGTGGCATCTTCTTAATGATGGCCCTGCGCTCCCAGCAGTCCTTTGCGAATGCGTAGTACCCAGCATCCTCAATCTGGTGGGAACTCTGTGGGGGAGGGGCAGAGGTTGGTGTCCCACACCCGCTTGTGTCAGCTGCACTGGGATTGTCCACAGAAGTGGTCGGGCTAGCACACTTGGCGTCCGTATTTAGTGATGCCTAGGTTGGGGCGCTGCTGTTTTCCATCCAAGATGTGGCCAGCTGTTGTTGCCAAAGTAACATGCTGGAAGCCACCCATTAGGTGATGCCGCGCCCAATTGGCAGCTTGTCCAGCACAAGACGTCGCACAGTTATTGGTGCATAGGGACAGTGAGTATACTAGCCGTGGTGCACACATGCACGCACCCCGCAATCCATATCCAAGCCACCCAAGGCACATGGCGTGCTCAAGTGCCGCTCAGTCTAGCCCATTCAAAAATCACACCGGATCATCTTCACAATCAAAGGTGGCCATCGCGTAGCAAAGCATCGACTGAATGTCAATTGAAAACAGCTGTTGCATGAGTTCACTCACCTGGCTGTGCACTTTCACCCACTTGTTTGCGCGCTGCCAGCTCTGCTTGCCTTGAGCATCGCCCAACAGTCTCCAGGCCATGTCCGAGACTCATTCAAAGACGAGCGTGCTGCTGGCGGGCAGATGTCGCCTGTGTGGTGATGGTGATATGCCAGAGAGGTTGTCCAGCGCCATAAGCCATTCTCCCAGTCTGGTATGCTGACTGCGTGTCACACCAACACCCTCAACAGTGCCTTGGTCCAACAGCCTCCCAGTCATGGTCCCCGTGGCCTAATGTCACATGGCTGTAGCTCCCTGGGCTGGTCACTGCAGTGTTCTATGGGACAGCAAATTGCAGCGCCCGGCCCAGGGTTTAGCTTGGTAAGGCTGGTCTAGGCTTGCAAATTTCAAACGCAGATTATGCAGTTTGCCATCAGTTCGGCTTGACAGACTTCTCATTGTTTGTGATTAATTCAGCACCGCAGGTATGCCAGGTTGTGATCAGATCAGCACTGCAGTATCACAGAGTTCCGGACTCAAAAGGTGTCAAACGGTGCCAACTTTGTTGCCTGGTGTGTGGCAGGCACGGAAACGCCAGCTGACTAGAATCCTCAGGGAGGAGGCCCTGTCAGATCTGACAGTTGAGCTCGTTGGTGGCCGCTTGATCCGAGTCGGCGATCTCAGAGGCTCGGCAAGGGTGGTATGTTGCACAGCCATGACACCCAAATATTCTGTTCAACAAAGGGCAATGCAGAGGGAGCAGATGATGTTGCTGGTGTCCAAAGCAGCAGCAGCAGCAGCAAAGAGCAAAAATTTTGTGCAAGTGTTTTGGCAATAGCACAGAAGCTAGACATTTCGCAGCAACACGAACAGCATCTTTCAGGACAATTTAGTACAAGCAAGTACTGTAAAGCACTGAGCGTTATGCCACTTTTCAAAAAAACGGAGTTAAATTTTAACAAGGATAATGACAGCAAAACAGCAGGGTAGTGTGCCTTCACACAGCCCACACCCCATTTGTCACTTCGATTTGGGGTTCAGTCATGAAATTGAATGACAGGGTGAGGTCTTTCTAGCGTTAGATGTCTGCACTCCAACGAAGAAGGGACACCCATAAGGGTGGGTGCGGTGGTGGTCCAGTACTACAAGAACACAGCTAGCATCACATTTGCGCTTTGCTAGACGTCGCTCCCTTAACCTTAGCTCACCTTGATGGACGTGAATACTTGTGGAGCACTTGTATGAATACGACACGTTGCTGTGCTTGTGCCCATTGGGCGATGTAAGGACAATGGAGGCCACAAGTCCTTGTGATTGCATTGATTTGCAGATCAGTTAGTAACAACTTTGATTAAATTGGCTGTTAAATAACGCTGTACAGGCAACAGCACAAAGCACTTCCCTTTCATATTCCAGGGATGTAGGATGAGCCCGAACAATGTGCATGTGTGCATTGTGTGTATCCATGTTATTTTGTTGCTGCTGTTGATGATGATCAAATTACGCGGAAAGCCAACAACACAAAGTGCACCATCTTCGCTCAGTGCTGAAGGACCTCCAGATGCCATTAGGTCCACGATCTTGAATACGTCTGCACAGGATTCAGCATTGTCCACCTACATGCGATGCACTGAGGTGCACTTGCGGCATGCACTACAGCACCATGTCGCATTGTGCCGCACCATGCCATGTCGTATCTTGCCATAATGTGTCGAACCATAAATGCGTTCGCATACACAGCAGGCATACACATCAATCATTTGATGAAGAATGCATTTTGTGCTTCACCTGGGCACAGGTTGTGGTGGCTGGTGATGCGGGTCAAGTGACCAGTGCCATGCAGGCTGCAGAGGCCTACAAAGAGGAGTTGTGCAGGCGTGGCGTGTTCGTCGTGGCGGTGCCAATATACGGTGTGGGATTGTCCATCCAATGGATGCACAACAATGCTAAGTGTTAACGTGTTTACTTGTGTTCGCATGCATACATGCATACATGTAATCCATGGATTTTGATGATGATGATGCATACGCTTCAAGCCAGCGTCAATGTGCTATACACACTGAGACAAAAGGATATGAAACTATACACACATGAGAGTCTCCAGCTTACCTTCATGTGTGCACTTGCGGGCGCATTCATAGTGTTGGGGTGGATGTCGACATGGCAGTGGATGCGCAGTTGATATGTACTGTATCATTAAGAACAGGTGCGCTAATTTGTAGTACATTATGCAGCATGCACGACGTGTGCCAATACGTGATTGTGATGCATATGTGGGTGAATTTCATCCGGAGTCGATTTGTTGGACTGCCAACAGAAAACCGCCCGAACACGTTTTCAACCCGATGGAAAACAGAGGAGTACGGTAGCAATGTCATCAATTGAGCACAATGTATATACTGCAAGTAGAGATTGTACGGTATTTTTCAGCGTGTTTGAGACAAGGAACATGCATGGTGGACATTCGTCAATAGTGCATTATGTAGAAGTGGGTATTCATCACTCAGAGGCTTCCATTTGTGTGTTTGTGTGCAGGCTTGGTACTTTCCTTCCTTTCATTTATTTATTTCTTTTGTTCAGCCTTGTTGGGCATAGGAACTGCATGAAAAAGGGGACATGCTCAATTGAAACGGGAATGAGCTGGAACCATAGTTGTACTTATGCGTCATCACAATATTCCAATAACAATATTTCAATGGCGCAAAGGGGCATGTCATTTTGGGGCTCCACTTCGTCGTCGTGCGGTGGTGGCATGGTGACGCTTTGGTTTCATTTAGATATTGCGTTATGATCCTCGTGTAGAGTTTAATCCAATGGCTAGTCCTCACTTCTTATCATACTTTTTGCCATTCCTGGCAATGTTTCTTTAAAGGTTTCTGACACGTTCATGACATTCTTCACGGTTCTGAATGGCTGCTTGTGGTTGCTTCTTCTGCTCACTAGGCGACGGCGCTGGAGATGCGCGAGGCACCAGCTCCCCATCGAAAGACGACGTACGATGGAGGGGGCAGGCGGTGAGGCTGGAGGAGTGGAAGGGGTGCGCAAGGGTCTGTGTCTTTCACCATTTTCAACTCCCTCGTGTTGTGCTATTGTCTTTACAATTTGCGCTGCTGTTGTCGCCAGCATTACCAAACGATAGCATTAGGGTGATGATGATGACAGGGTTGCGAAACCTGAATAATCGAGCTGTTTATCATTAAGGAAATGACTGACTGCATGTTCGTTGAATTATGTCATGTAGCTTGTTAAATTGTTGGCTGACCTATGTCATGAAGAAACCATTGTGATCAATGTGTTTTTTTTTGCATTGGGCTTGAATGTTTAATTGGTCACATGAACTATAACAATTTGCCTTTCTGCGATGATCCATGATGACGCCTTTGGCATTTCATCAAATCAAGACCCCGGTTGCTCTCCTTTCGCACCTCCAAATTCGAATTTCAAATTTTGAGTCTCAACACCCGAGTTGTTGAAGGCGCTGTACTTTAGTTGGCTGGTCTGCAATAGCTATAGCTAATGGCAGTACTTTGGCACAGGTGGTTCACAGACCAACTTGAGTCCACGTCAGGGGTGTCATCCGCCAACGGCCTGTACGTTGGGCTTCGGATGGATGGGAGAGTGCGGGCGAGCGGCGCGGTAAGGGGCATGGGCACCAACACGAAACCTGAAGTGTACTGCCTTGCATACATCTTGCATAAATTGTTAACATGTACTTCCTGTGTCCGGAATTAATTGTCTTCTATTGCAAAGATCAATTTAGTTATCTGAGCGGCTTCCAAAGTATCAACAAAAGTCATAATCGAAAAGATTGGGTCCCAAAACCCATGGCTACCAATTTTTGTGACAAAATTGACTACTTCTTGGGCCCTTTTCGAATTGCTAAGTTTCGGCTGAGAATTTCCATTCTAATTCGGCGTCTGTTGGGGATCTGCGCGGTTTTGGGTCGCTCCCATACCAGGCGTGCTAAAGCAAGGTCATTGTTGCTGTCGTGACAAAGGGCAGTGTCCCTCACGTGGTGTAGCACTTGCCGAACACGCTCAATCATGCTTGGATCCCCATTGAAGAAGCCTATTGTCATGGCGTCGACGATGGCAGAAATCGTTGCCTCCTTGATCACCGATGCAAGGACTTGCCACAAGCGGAAAAGGCCAATCACTCTGAGGTTGCGCTATAACTTTACTCTAACATTGTGGCTCGATTGATCCTTGGATCGAGGCTCGTGCGTGGCTGGGCCCACACTGCAGAAATTGCGACTGACATCCACCATGTGGTCCTCAACCCCTCTCAATCCGATTTGTCTCTACTTTTGAGGGAGGCACAAACTTGTCTCTCTGGACGTTCACTTCGTGTTCACATCAATGCACACGTCGACTTCTTCATCCTGCCTTGGAAGCCATTGCCCTAATCGTACGCCGTTGATTAGGGTGATGGCCATCGCATTGACATCCAGCATGACTTTGGTGGGCTAGGTTGTGCTTGTGTCTCAGGATTTCATCATTGACTGCTTGAGCCAGTCGTTGGTATGCCATCTTTTGCAATTCGTGACCGGCAGACAACAACAATGTTGTATACAGAATGTGGCATCGTTTGGTAGAAGAATTGCATGATGGCATGAACAACCAGCTCGCCCACGATAGTATCCCATTGTGTTAGGCCACTATTGACGAAATGTGCCATTTGGCCGATTAGCTGATTTCAGGAATTTCATGGTGAAGGATTGCTCTATTGCCAACGTTGGGTGTAGTTGACTGATGCTCACTGAATGCACCCGGTTAGACATGCTAACAATGGTTATTTTAGAATGGCACCGTTTGCTCAAATTCAGGGCATGTGCCATGGCTTTGTTGCATGGCTTCTGACCTATGGGGCTCTGAACATTTTTCGATTGTTCTTGTTATATTTCTTTGTGCAGGGCGCTCCTCCATGGGCGGCTTTTGTCGCACAGCTGCCACCAGTGGAAGGTGGGGATCTGGCGGCATTGCTGTATTTTTTTGTTTCGGCAATTCATTAGAATAACATGTTTATGTAATCGAGTAAAGCTTCCATTGTCTGTACACGCATGTGTCCACGCATCTGCGCTGGAAATCGTGTCAACTGGATGCTTTGCACATGCCATTCATTGGTGTATTTATGCCGACCTCGAGGAGCCAAACACACTTGCAATTGGGCGCTAGTTTTACTGTGCAGCATGTCCTTCAATACGTGTGTATGCGCATCGACTCTACTGTTGTGGCTGCACGAATTTCCTCCTTTCTGCCCGTGTTTCGCGCTGACGGCTTTTCCTGCCTTTGCCACTCAGGCCTATTCAAGGGCTTCCTCGATGGGCTTGACGGCCCAGTGTGAGGCACGCCCGTGTGCAGGCGCCAGGCGGCAGTGGAGCCGGACGCCAGCTTCATTGCCACATGGGATTCGAGCGCCTTCTGGTCCTCATCGTCTGCCTGTCCGGCCGCACGACAGTAGGAGTGACGGCCGCATCAGCCAGAATGGCGGTCAAGTGTGTTGCCCTTGTTGCCGATGCGCTTGACAAGTGACAGCTGTGCGTCTTGAAGGACGTCTTCCATACGCAAACAGAACGTGTGTCGAACCGCTCGAGCATGTTCAAATGCGGGAGTGCCTGCGATGATTGCACCGATTTTGCACCACTGCATTGAGCGCGCACAATGGTGGCAGAAAAACTTTCCCAGTTTACAAAGGGCCGGTCATTTTGCCCTCCTCCGACAATGCTCACGTGCTGAACCTCATGTAACAGCGACGGACACTGGTTTTGGCCGGCTCCAAATCTTCTCTTCCTGAGCACGCTTGATCCGGCGTTTTCCGCCAGCACAGGGGAGTCTTTGTGTCCAAGAACGTGGAGGATTGACAATTCAACAGTATGGCCATTCTGTTGGATTGGTCGTGGATTTGGTGCCATTTTCCACCAGTGTCACACGACAAGTTTCTTTCGGACCTGCGTTCTGCCTCCACATCTTTATCACTACTTGCACTGCTAAAGTAAGAATTAACAGAGCTCTTCGCAAGTTGCGGGCCCGATGCTGACTTGCACGGCAGAGGGCAGATACAAAGGTGTTGAAGTGAACCTACACATCACACCATCGCGGTAGACGTACGATCGTGCATCCTGGAAAATGAAATTTGGTGAAACGTCAAGTTAAATCCTGACAATTCTCATCAAGTGTGAAGGTGGATCACGACAAAAATGAGGGGCCGTCATCAGCAACCCATGAATTCTTGGTCGCCGTGCATTCACGGGCATCCAGTGATGATTGCCACCACACAGCGCATCACCACTCATCATCTCTCTTTGCGAGTGTCCACAGATGTGAAGAAACTCACCATCCCACACGAAGGTTGCTGCGACTGGGCTCCGAGGTTTCCTACACAGGAAGTCGCGGCACAAACTGGCGCTTGCTCTGGGTTGCAACGCGATCACCTCCCAAGTGCAGGGATACCTGTCAGGCTAACCCGTGGCTTCACTTGTAAAGTCAACCTGCGAAAGCACAGCTCTGCGCGAATGCTGCCATGAGAGCACCAACCACCGACGCACGAGACAGCGAAAGGCAATCCGCTCACTCAGGGACATTCAAAGACTTCCTTTTGAGCAAAAAAACAGGACGGGGGGCGAAACAACCGAACGGGAAGTCTACGTCCCAGAAACTTGCCGACACCAATAAGCCGTTGGTGAGGCTAAGACAGGTCCGATACTTCATCTCCGTCCAAACGCTGCATTCATGGCTATTAGGATCATTCATGTGTTAATGCTATAATATTGTAATGTGGTAGTGTTATTACTCCAAATTGCGCATTGGAAACTGTTACAAATCTCTGCGCAAGTCAATACGTGCAATTGACAGGTTGTCAGCGTAAGGTTGAATGGCGGAAAGGAGCCCACAACTTGCCCAAATATTTTTGCCAGAAAGGCACCCTTGTGGAAGTACTTGTCCCAGAATTGAACAGCGTACTTGCCTTGTCCCTCGCGGTGTGCACACAACCTTGCACCACTGAGGGCGTATGCTGATACTGAGTCAACGAGCCGAGGGAATATTTGCACCTCTATCGCGATATATGGCTTAGAGTTTGGCCTGCCCTGTTGGACCCCCAGGGCGCTCAAACCACCAGAGTGGTTCCATTCTCACTGCGCCACCAGGAATAGGGAAGATCTGGAAACATGTTCGGGTCGCCAATAAATGGAAATCATCAAAAACAGGTAAGTTAAGGATATTACTCAGCTGGCGACCCGTGAGATCCAGAAATGATGCAAAAGGGACGTCGACAGCCTCGGCACCTTCGTCACACTGATTATCATTCAGTAGGTTTGCGCTCAATGAGGCAAAAAGCCCAAGCCCAAGCCCAAGCCCAAGCCCAAGCCCAAGGCACTCAGAATGCAAGGAGATGACTTCAATGACAAAGAGAAATCACGGCAACCTCACTATATGCCCAAAGAACCCAAAGCAATGCAGTTGTGATGACGGTACGTGACGGCGCGCGTCACGGGCACACCGGTGCCAGACACGTTTGGAAAACACCGTGCAGTACTGAGAGGCACCCAGGTCGCTGTTGGGCACGTGCGTTTGCTTTGGCAAGGGGTGCAGCCGTGCGCGACCGGGCGCATTAGATGCACAAAGCTTGGCGAGTTGGGTTGCGTCGGTTTTCCCGAGCAATGCCCGTTGATCGAGCCGGGACAGCCATGGCTGGCCATGGTGCTGCCGATGGGGGATGGCAGACACACGAACGAATCGCCGATTGAGATGGATCGAAGCCGAAGTTGCTGGGGGTGTGGGGGTCCGGCGAACGGGCAGGCCTTTCCCTCTGCGTGGTCGGCTGTGTGGCGGAGCGCCGTGAGTTCGAGCGAGCGCAGGCGCTGTTGATGCGCGGAATGGGAGGTCGCAGGGCTGATGCGAGAGGCATGCAAATGTACTGCAGCTGGATTTGTCATCCTGGCATGGTGCTGGAGAATTCTGGCGTCCTGTGGCATGCAAGCTGCTCAGAAGTGTGCCCCTAACTCAGAGCAAGATGGACTGTCACGGAAGGCTGGGTGCCATCAGTCAGAAACGGGCTTGTGAAAGCTGATCGAATCTGGATTTGAAAGGATCAATCAGTTGCTGGTCATACTTGCAGCATGCTGTTGCTATCCCAAGTTACATAGAGGTGTTTTAAAGAAATCATCTGCAAAAGATTTCACCTCAAACGGATCCTGGGTGAGCAAGATATGGCATTTTATGTGTGAGGGTGCCGTTTCGGGGGTGCCCCCTGTGCGACCTGCCACAGGGCGCGGTGAGACGGGGTCAAGAGGGGCGAGCCGAGGCGCCACGTAGCTTTTGATGGGAATATGGCCTCGTGGGGCATTGTGTGGCCGGGAAGCGGGGCGCACTGGTGTGATTTGCGGTGACACGGCAGTGTGGCAGGAAGATTCCGCGGAATCAAAAGATGCTGTTTCGTATGGGGGGCATCTCAAACTCGGGGGAGGTTACAAGTACTAGGGAAGCGGACAGCGCCGTGTGGGACTCTCCATTGTTGCACCCGGAATGGCAGCTGTAACAACGGTTGCCTGGGGTTCGTATGTGTCTCGCGCGGCGGTCTAGGCGCTCGGCCTGGCTGCCTGACTCCCCTGGCCGTGCGCGCAACGTTCGCCACGGCCTGAGCGCATTAGCACTCGATCTTTTCGAAGGTCACGGCTAGTCTAGGCCGTGTTTTCAAGGCGTTTCCCTGCCGTTCGAGACCAGAACCTCCAGTTGGTCTAGTTGCCGACCAGAACTCGCCAAGGCTCGTCTCTGCACAGCCTTGTCGAGGCGGAGAGAAGCGTTTCACAAGTCCAACACCGACGTGCTGTGGACAAGGCAGCCCTGACCCGTGGTCCTGACTCCCGTTTTGACTTCGTCGACCGTTGAGGAACAGTTGGGACCGGTTGAGGTGCTCTGAGCGGCAGCTGTGGGAGTTTCCACCAACGCATTTGCATGCTTGGGTGGCAGTGGGGCGTTTGCTACCCGCTTCAAGTTTCCCTTGCTGTCTCTCCACTTTTTTTGATACTAGTAGTACCAACAGAAGCGCTTTACAGGAATTTTCGTAGCGCTCTGTTTCAATGATCCTCCCAAAGTGAAGTTCGCAGAGGCGGCTCCTGATCTGGTCAGCCGTTGCTGCGATTCAACTGACATATTACTGCACACCGAAACATGCTAGCACGCTATTGTTATACCTCTAGACGCCATCGCCATGCAGGGACCCGTGATGCTTGCAGGAAGCTGAGGACGAATCAACCTGAAGTTGGGTGTTGGCATGCGAAGCCACAGTGTTCCACGCTCACGTCTGCACCCATGACCGTGGTGATGACCACAGCATTGGCAAACTTTGTGGCACGAAAGCTACAACGAGCGCCCGGCCTGCAACAGTCAAATGTCGACACATCCGTCGGAGCTGTTGTTTGAACTTGGGGGCCTGCGTCATAGTTTCCGCATTGTGTCTATTGGTGCCCCACATTGTTCACCGTTTCTCTGGGGAGACAGCTTGCGATCAAAGCGGACGATGGGTACACACTGTGTGCACCGCACTGGATGGCCTGACAAGCCAAGCACTGCAGGAAGCCCATGCGTGAGCATTTGGTCCTGGCGCAGCCTCTCAATTGTTGCCATTTGCCGTTGATTCACCGACGAAGGGGAGCAATCGAGGCGCAAAACATGGGTCTCCCAACTTGCAAGGCCCCACCAGTATGGGGAAGAAGGCGGTAGTCCCAAACCAGCAGCGTTCGTCATCGGTTTTCCATTAAAAACCACCGCCGTCTACTTAATAGCCCCGTCATCATCAAGGGCGTTAATCTCGATTCATGGAAGCAATATAAACTCTGTTCAGCTTGGGCTCGACATTTCAGCAGCAATAGCAGCGGCGACGGCGGACTCGCCCCTGAAAATTCAAAACTCTAAATTCCAAGTCACTCTTCGAACTTCACGTTGACTTCCTCATCGACCATCAGCCAGGCACATCTCGTCATTGGTGTGTCACCGTTGGCAGTACTACACATGTCCACCGCGGCTGCTTGCGTCACCCACCCACACCCCATTCACAAAAACGGTGACAGAACAAGAATCTCTCCCGTTGGCGATCAGCCACCATGGTCACACATGTGAGGAGAATTGAAACGCCCCAAGGCCATGTATTAGACAGCGTTTGACTCTTATTGCCATTCCTGCCGCCTAACAGGCCGATGCCCATGTGCATCGCCTCATTATCATGGCGGCGGCCGCTTTCACACATAAATAGTTTCCCGCTTCTATGACCCATCTACATAAATCATCGAGCATCCTGCAGAGTCCAAGGACCCCGACGCACTGCCAAAAGGGCACCCATTCTCAGGG